ATATATATATATATATACACACACACTATGTACGGCAGCCGAGAATGGCCATGGTAGCTACTTTTTTCAATACCGCTATCTCGAGATCACAAGTTAATTATTTCATTATCTTGAGAAAATGAACCGTGTTAACTAGATATAAATAATAATCAACTCTTTAAAAAAAACATACCGTATATAAATACATAAGATACATTTGATTTTGTTTACTAGAAGTATAAAACATGTTAGCTGCGTCTCTTATAAATTAAAAAGATAACATTTTATCAATTTGGAGATATTGCAAAGTAAAAGTGCCACATTTTTACCCATAATCCTGTTAATCGTATTACCAGAACAATTAACTTGTGATCTAAAGAGAACGGCAGGAAAAGGAGTTCCCATTTCATTTGGATCTGAAAATCCGTCCCTATGAACAAATCTGTGATTTATAATGACTTTAGAGACGAGAAGGTCCCAAAAGGGACACTGAATCTCTCATTTAAAAAACACAAGATAGGAAATACTCAACACTCATTCAGTACTTATTAATTAATAGAATGCAACCCAGTCCTACCTGATCAGCTATTCTGCGTCCACCAATGAAAGGAGGCCAAAGTCTCTGAACCTCCAGCAGCACCGTGTGCAGGTAATCAGGGTCTTCCAACGCTCGCCGACGGGCCTTCTCGTGAACACGGGGAAAGATTTTGGTTTGTAAATCATATTTAAAAGCAGAAACAACTGGGCAAGAAAAAGTTATGGCCCATGGTCATAGTTTGTTCACTTTTTATTAATATGTACTGAAGATGTGTATTTCTTTCCATCACACCTTGTTGCTGTTTTGTCTCATCAACACACATCAGGTATATCAGTTATACCTGTCGGTTTCCACTGAGCGCCAGTGTGAAGGAGGTGAGCAGCGACGCCAGCGCTTTGGGGATCAGAGCTGAGATGAACAGCAGGAGATGCTGGGAGGCAGAGCTGGAGTTGGGTAGCGGCAAAGAACCGAGGGAGCCGACAAAACTAGAGCCGCGGAGAGGAGAGAGCAACGTTGAGATTAAGGTTCCACATCAACAACATCATCAGTAATAAAACGAACCATATGGGAGCCATAATCAGAGATCAACAGCCTCTGCTAGCCTGTGATTTATGGCAGAGAGGGCTTTACGCATGAGAATGTCAATGCAAAGAGCAAACGCCACCACAATATTCAGGGGGTTGTGTTGCTGTATTACAAAGGCATAACAAAACATATGACCTGAACCAATAGGATTTGAGAGTAGCAAAAGGTTGCGAAAGATCAGTCATTAAGGTATGTTGTAATGTACCTGTAATGACTGAGTAAAGACCAAGCAGATAACAGATTAAGATCAAAGTTCATCATTACTCGATGCCAAAAAACAAAAAGGAGACAGAAGACGGGAAACTAGCCAGGCAAACAAAGAATGCAGACTTATCGAGGCAGGGATCAGACAGAACGGTGGAATGGAGTCCAAAGCTCAGGCGGAGAGCCATGAGGGCAGGCAACAGGCCGGTAGGAAAGACGGTATTTTATTTTGCAGAACTTCCAGAAATTTACTGAACCAATTAAGTTTGACAAATATTTGGTAAACAATCTAATAGAAACATAAGTACTGGCAAGTCTTCAGCAGACATAAACAAGAGGTAGAAGCTCTGTTTTTGAGAATGATTGTAAAATGAATACTGCTGTGTGTGTCTGTGTACAAGATAAAGATATAAAAGACAGAGAAAGACACTGAGAAGGGAAATAGAGAAGCAGTGGGGTGGTTACCCTCTGCCTCTACTAGGAACTGGGCGTGTGTGTGTGTTTTGTGTGTGTGTGTGTGTGTGTGTGATCCTGCGTTTGTGTGTATCAGACAGAGAAAAAGAGGTACAAAGACAAATGCAGTCTCACCCCTGTTTGTCATTCTCCAGTTTGTCTTTGATGATTTCCATCAGTCTGTCTCTGGCTTCCATAGCGGTGGAGAAACCCGACGACCACAGAGGAACTTTCACATTGACCGGAGCGGAGATCAGACCTGCCGGGGCATGAGAGGAGTTGGTCAGGAAAGATACAAAGAAGGGCGAAAACACACACAATGGATCATATTTACTGAGCTGAATTAAAAGGGGAAGTGGAAGATGTTTGCAACACTGTATTGCAAAACAGCAGAGCTGAGTATTAAATACGTCTGGAAAATATAACATGTTGTAACAATACCAGTGCTGCAGTTAAATGAAAGACAATTTTGGAGCAGTGTATATGAACTGATAGTTGCAGAAAGAAAGGGGGGGGGGGGGGGGGGGGGG